CATCCAGAGATGCATACTCTTTCCAAGGTAGCATATGTGGTCAGGGTTAGGCACCAGGCTTAGACTTGGAATTCAGTTACAACACCAGAGACAAATTAGCAATAAAAAGGATCTTTATTCAGTACAGATCTTAGCATAGACTGCCAGAGATTACAAAAATAACAAAGGCTAGGGCAATTTGCCTTAACTACACATTGAAGATACATAGTTACCACATCAGGAACATCCACAGTCCAAAATAGTCCAAGGGATTTTGAAGGAAAATCCCATTTTTGCACACCATGTGCTCCAAGTCACAAAGCAACTCTTTGTCTCTCAAGAGGCAGCATTTCAGGTGCAATAAAACAGATAATGGAGAACAGGAAGAAGAGCTCACTCCCATAGGGATCAAACAATTATACCCCAATTCCGGTCACAAATTAGATGTGACCATCAGCCAATTGCGAGTAGGCATGGGTGTGCCCAATTGTTGGTTGCCATAGCTGCGTGTGGGGATAGGCTATAAGTTTGGGACCCTGCCTGCAGTCATCTGACCCAAACTCCAGCTACTTCATTGTGTACGTGACTGGTCGCAAGTGAGCCAGAAAGTGTATCCATGAGGTCTGGCTTTTGGCATGAAAGTGTGAAAGAATGTGGGTTTATGGCATGGCTATTGAGGCCATGTGGCCTCACCATTTGGCTTGCAACAGGAAACAAGACACAGCATGTTATCAAAAGACATCACAGGAGAAGGCATGTGAATATAGAAGCAATATTTCTATACAATGTGCATTCACTGTAACTTGTGAATAGGGCTGTTAGCTCTTCAAAAACCACTGCAGCATGTTCAATTGCCATCTTTTCCTCTGTCATGACAATCAAATGTCATGTGGGAGAAGCAAGTGAATTACACCTGTATCGTTCCACCTGGGAGCTGCAGCAGAGTTGTTGTGCAAAGAAAGAATTGTGGAATCCTCTTGGTACTGCGGTAAACACATCATTTTTATAGGCTTCTTATTTGCCAGTCTGCCTCAAAGTATACTTATTTTTCAAGCTGTATCCACACTCTGATTTAAGCAACCATTTTAAGAAGTCTGGAGGTATAGCTAGTACTTTCTCCCACAAAAATATTTATTTGTTTGTTTATTTATTAAATTTCTAACCCACCCTCCCGCTGAAGCGGCTCAGGGAGGCTTAGAAACAATTTAAAACCAACATACAATTTAAAACCAGCAAATACAAGATATAAAATACATTCCATACAATTCCAATAAATACAATAAAGGTAAATAAATACAGCAGCATCCTGTAATAAAGTGCTAGTGCGACCCAACCGGTGCAGTCAGTTCTTATTGGAACACCTGGCGAAACAGCTCCATTTTCACGGCTCTACGGAACTGCTGGAGGTCCCGTAGAGCTCTAATCTCATTGGGGAGCTCATTCCACAGTGTTGGCACCACCAGGGAGAACGCCCTCGTCCTAGCTACCGCCAGCCTGGCATCCGTAGGCCCAGGGAGGGCCAGGCAGTGTTGTGTTCCAGACCACAGTGCTCTCGGGGGAACGTACGGGGAAAGGCGGTCCCTCAGGTAGGCAGGCCCCTGTCCATTAAGGGCTCTAAAGGTCAAAACCAGCACCTTGAAGCAAATCCAGAACGCTATTGGAAGCCAGTGCAACGACTTCAGCACAGGCTGGATGTGCTCCCAACTGGGGAGACCCATCAGCAGCCTGGCTGCCACGTTTTGCACCAGCTGCAGCTTCCAGAGTTGCCCCAAGGGCAGCCCCATGTAGAGAGCATTAGAGTAGTCTAACCTTGAGGTGACCCTAGTGTGGCTCACTGAAGCCAGATCATTGCGTTCGAGGAAGGGGACCAACTGCCTAATCAGCCAAAGATGGTAAAAGGCTGCCTTGGCAGTGGCTGCTACCTGAGCCTCCATTGTCAAGGAAGCGTCCAGGAGCACTCCCAAACTCCTGACCCTTGGCACTGGCACCAACGGTGCCCCACCAAAGGCTGGAAGAGGGACCCCTAACCCCGAACTGCTCCGATTCAGGCATAGGACCTCCATCTTCATCGGATTCAATTTCAGTCGGCTCAGCCTAAGCCATCCCGCCACGTCCTGCAATGCCCAGTCCAGATCTTCGGGGGTAGAGCCAGACTGACTGCCCAACAACAGATAGAGCTGGGTGTCATCCGCATATTGGTGACACCCTAGCCCATGCCTCCGGGCAATCTGGGCAAGGAGGCGCATATAGATGTTAAATAGCATTGGGGAGAGCACTACCCCATCTCGTACCCAGGTCTCGGTCACGCACGCCAGATCCACATCCTGCTCCAGCAGGAAGTTCCACAGGACTGAGGTCTTATTGTTTATGGGCCTGGCATTGCACAGCACCAATGTCGGAGAGGAGTTTATTAATCCTTGCCCCACTGTCTGCCACCTTTGGGAATTAGAATTAGGAAGGTTACGTTCATTCTCATGGGAAAGTAAAGTACACATGGAAATCCTGTTGTCATGATGGATCCCTGGCTGTGAAGGAAAGTGCTGTCAAATTGCAGCTGACCTATGGTGACCCCAAAGGATTTTCAAGGCAGGAGATATTCAGAGGTGGTTTCCCATTGCCTGCCTCTGTGTAGCAACCCTGGACCTCCTTGGTGTTCTCCCATCCAAGTACTAATTGGTGCCAACCCTGTTTAGCTTCCAAGATCTGATGAGATCAGGTGAACCTGGGCCATCCAGGTCAGGGCGACAGATCCCTAGAAAGGCCTAAACTGTAAATGATATCCACTGTGTTGCCTGGGAGTATCTTTGTACCACCATCATCTGGCCCATCATAATGACCAGCTCTTCTCTCGCGGTTTCAAGTAAAGCAGCAAACTGAAAATATCAAACTAAGGGGCAGAAGGGCCTCACTGAGG